GTCAGGACGTATTTCCACACTATGCATTTTGCATCCCACAGCCACATGTTCATAAATATGAGAGTGGCCTCTTGAGAGAAAAATAAGTCAACTAGCCCATCCATAAACCTTCACGTCAGCCTTTCACACAAGTAAAAACATGACAATGAGTAAAACGGGAGTCAGCGTGTTTATATTTTTACTCTGCAGCAGCAGCAGTGTTATAAATGTGGTCCGTGGAGGGAGTTATCATGGCGACGCGTGTTGACACGCACAAAACATTACCATATCATTGGGAAATAAGTGGCATACAGCAACACGGGACTCAGACAGGGAGTGTGTATATGTGCTTTTGTTATATAAAAAACTATATATAGGCAGCATCGAGGTACCGGAAAGTGTGAACAATCAACTTGGTTGTGCGTGTCTGACTGTATAAAGTTGTATTTGTGTATTTTATACTCGAGCGAGTATTCATGATATGGAGAAAGGAAAAAAATAAGGAAGAAGGAAATAAAAAAGATAGTTTCTAAAGAAGGTAACATAGCAGGAGACCAATGACTTGAATGTCACACATTGTAGACCTGCGAATACCCCTACAGGTTGTGTTTCATGTGCCTCACTGGAAGTCTCCCCATTCACTGACTTTGATTTCAGTGTGTGAAATAAAGGATAAACATGCCTGCATTGAGTCGGACACGTCTCACAGTTAGTTAGGTGTTTCCTTACTGTGTATGCGTGTACATTGCCTGTGTGTGTGTGTGTGCGCGCGCGTACTAGTAGTAGTTGAAATAGCAGGAATGTAATGAACGGCAGAATTTACTGAGCATTTATGTAGCGTGACGGGCAGCGTTCGTGCGTGTGTGTGTGCGCAGAATAATTGGGACTTCAATGCCCACAATCCCCACAGGCCGCTCAGCGCCCCTCCGCCGCTCACAGTCACTCCGCCGCAGAGCTGGCAACGCCATTGGCGCGAGTCCCCCTGTGACGTCAGGACCCAACGTGGGGCACCATCGACAACGATTGGTTAGAGCGAAGCGTCGTTCGAGCCAATCGGAGCGTCCGTACGGGCCTGCGACGAGGAAGAGCTTTTAAGGTGGAACCGCGGAGTTGCCGGTGATTGAGACGTTAACACACTTAACTTGAGCTCCTTGTGGTCCTCGCAGCGGGTTGTTGTTCTGACAAAAAGTGCAAAACACGTGCAGTCACATAATGGACAGGTGACTTGGTTCCAATGTCACGTCGTCTTCGACTGCCGCTACTTTAAGGTAGAAGTTCATGTGAAAACGTCGCGGTTGTCTTCGTCAAAATCCGGTGGATTTGCGTGTGTTTTTTAATGTTAGCTAACGTTAGCTCACGTTAGCTCGAGCCGTGATTCCGTGAGCTAAGTATGCTAACTAGAGACCACAATAGTTGTAAATAAATACCCCTTTTTGGCCTAATTTAATTTGAGTGGATAATTTTTTTTTTATGTTTTCAAATTTAAAACAAAATAAAATACTATCTTATAGTATAATCATATTATAATATAATACTATATTATAATAATATATATGCTATTCTGCAATAAATGTTGACCACCGTCATTAACCGAGGTAATCAATGCACATTACATTGTCAGCTTGTGTAGTTTGCTAACGCGCGAGCTGACGTCATGGCGTCTTTACGTTAACAGCCGATTGTGCTCCTCTTTGCTTGAGGTTCTGCTGACCTTCCCTCTCCTCTGTGGATCTCCTCTCCCCGCAGGTCCTCACGCTCCTCAAAGGCCGAGGGTCAGAAGAACCCACTCGTTTTGAGAGCGAAAGCGCGGCGGCTCCTGTTAGGGATTCAAGAACGCTCCTCAGCGTCTCTCTCTACGGCGGCCGCCAACCTTTCGTAACGTCTGGACTGTGTTGACTTGTGTCCGGTCTCCCATCTGTCTCGGTAAAGCCCGGTGTGAAGAGTCGCGGGGGAATAACTACCTGCATAATCCTTTCCAGACAATTAGATAATGCTGATTAGCACACTGGGCTATATGCGGAACGGTGTTGGTGGTGTTGGTGTTTGTCGGGTGGGGTCACCGCCGGGCGCTGAAGAGGTTCATCCTCTTGGGGCCGAATTTCGCGGCAATCTATATCCATCGGGCTATAACCGTCTTCTTAGCGCCTCGCGCAGCGCGTAGGCCTCCCGGGTTTGAATCCCGGACAGCTTGTGCCTTTCTCTGTGAGTGTCTGGCAGGATGACCTTTCCCAGACGGAGGCCGCCCGCGCGGGTCGCTAACTCCAGGACGCTCGTAGCGCCGGTGTGAAGGTGCTGCGGTGCCTCTGGAACCAGAGTGTGGAATGACGCTCCTGTTTTCCGTCTCTTGGGTTGTTTGTTTTAATGTGGCACTCTTGCTTTCATTAAAGGCAAAACTAGGTGATTTTGCTGCTGCAGCAAAGAGTCGTAATTGAGGATAGATGTGCGATGGTTTGGACCATGAACACCTTCGTAATGGGCCCCGTGGACTACGGCGAGCGGGCGCTCAGGTCCGGTTTCACGTCGCCGGTGAAGATTGGGTTCTGGTTTCAGCCTGCAGAGCGTCGGTGACGTCACGCTGCGAATACAAGCCCTTCATCACAGTTGTTATCCAAACACTGAGATCATGCTGTATACATTCTTTTTTTTCCCTCCCCTCTAAATGTTTACCCCCGTCCACGATGTCCTCTCTTTAGCGAGGACGAGTTGAACCCGAGTCACTCATCCACTCGTCCCTTCTCCTCCGACACCCAGACAGGTGTTTACATGCGCGGTTTCTTTAATGCCACCTTTCTGTTCCCGCAGACATGGCGATAAAATGCTCAAATGAGTCACAGTGCAAATTCAAACTAGCTGAGTTTAAATGTGTTAACACAAGCCAGCATTACGCTCCCTCGGATGGATCTATAGTGTTTGTTAATGGAGTGCATTAGATAATAGGATTCCTGCGGTGACCTAAATTGAGGATTTGGGGCTGCCCCCCCCCCGGCTAAACCGCTTGTTATCAAAAGCAGTTTCGGTCTTTCTGGAAAACCCTCCAACGGATGCCAAGACCGTCTCTGTCCGATTCCACAGTGTCGGATTAATGGCCGCTTGATCAAAGGCAGCGCTGCCCCCGGGTGAACTCGTTTATAAGCGGCGCCGAGCGGCGGCCCCCGGGGGGGGGCCAGACCGGCGTGCCGTACGTGGAAAGGCTTCGAAACACCAGGCCTCGGACGTTGGTCCGGGTCCACTCACTGGGCGTCTCTGTCAGACAGCGTCGTCGTCTCGCGGCATCTCGGGTATGTTCCTGGCGTGTCGTCCTCCAGACGCTCGACTCGTTTGATTAGGACGCCGTGATGCTTCTGCGCTGCAGCTTTGAGGGATTTAGCGACACAATGTGTGGCCCCGGTGCCCGTCCCCTTTAAATACCTGTCGTAGGTGTATATCCTTTTTAGTGTTTGAGAATAAACAAACCTAGGGAGGAGGAGGTGGGTGGAGGCGGGGGGGGGGTAAGATTTCCGTCTTCTCCAAACAAAGCACTGTTGCATTTCAGGGAAAAGAGAGATGAATCACTTTCTGTGTGGCAAGTGTTTTTTTTTCTCTCTCTCCCAGAAGACCACCTGTGGGGTCAGAATAGTAAATGTCAACGCTGAGCTCAATCAATACGATCCATATAGTACAGTCGTATTGTTGTAGA